TCCTTTTCAGGACTGACCATGTTAACTAAATGAAACACGAGGAACACTAAAAATACATGTCAAGCAGGCGAACATTACAATTACACTGGGTGAAACTGACTAATCAACGACAAAGATTATAAACGTAAAGAAAACAGGTACGACAGAAAATGACATAATTTTTTCAATTAATTCTTTAATTCTGTATGTAGCTGGCTCCTGCCTAGAACATAAATTGTTTCTACCACATAAGGCGAGAGTGAATAGGAAAAATCAATTACAATGGTGAAACTTTTTCTAATATGCAAAGCAGATAGCTAGCCGGAATAAATACCCCTACAAAGTTCTCAGACAAAATTAACTAATCGGCTCACTACCATATGCTTCTTAAAACAAGGGTAAAATCTAATGACATGAGGATCTTCGTAAGGAACCCACCTGCTTCCGGCAATTTACTTTACACAATATACACAAACTAAGATTATAACTCAGATCAAGATGATGAAAGCCTGAAGCAAGCTTACTAGTTCTCATGTTTGATACGTGCTTTTATTATTCCAGGAAGAGGTGGTGATGTAGGAGGCCTACCAGGTGTGTTTGTCCTTGGGGTAGGCATGATTTGTGGTTGGTACATGGCGGACATGCTAGAACCTTCACCACCATCGGCAGAAAAATTGTGTGCAGTATGATCGTCTTGCAGTCTCTCACAAAATTTCATGGCCTTCAGAACATAATTGTCATCATGAAGCTCAAAAGGAGTGCTGCAAACAGGATAACACATTATGAGAACATAAGCAATGGCTGAAAATAACTGAACTGGAAAAGAAAAAGTTGAAAGGATTTCCAGCTGAAACCTCAAGCACCTCGTATCCTACCTTCACTGCCAGCATTTTCAATCCCCAGTTCCTCTCACTTTTCTGTAATTTCCAACAAAAGCATTTTCTTCCCAACTTCCCAGCCACTATTTTCTTCCCCTGGCCAACCTCCCAGCCACTATTCCAACCCCTCCCCCCTGCCCCAACCCCCCTGCATTTACTTTTCCAACCCAAAGCTTTCAGTACTTCAACCTACTGCTGGAGCTAGTGATTTGGTATACACGGTATCCAGAGCAGAAATGTCCTTACTACCATTGACCAACAAATAGAATTAAAGAGCTTATCAGAGGTGTGCTTTTACTTTTCCAACCCAAAGTGTGCTTGTGTTTTTTAGTAATTCAACCCACTGCTGGAAGCTAGTGATTTGATATACATGGTCTCCAGAGCAGAAATGTCCCCACTACCATTGGCCACCAAATAGAATTAAAGTCTTATCAAAAGGCTTATCTATTGAAGTCAAAATGCACTATCTGCATATCTTCTGATATCTCCACCTCAACAGTTGCTGAGGGCGTGTCTGCATTTCCTAATGTGATGAGGTAATGAAAATGACAAACAGATTATGCTTCC